ACCGTTGGCTGCCTGCAAAGTCAGTGCTGCTGGGTTGGCAGAATCCTGTTTAATGAACGGGATTATACTGACTTGCGTTCCGGTATCTACTATAAACCTAAGCTTGAACGAGTCATCGTAGATAGAAGGAGGCGACAAGGGGTAGGAGACCCGGTTGAGGTAGTCGCCGTGACCTGCCGGCCTACTATTTTCCTTGTTGAGTTTTAACCGAACACGGTGGTTCGCACTTCCTAGCTAGATTTCCAAAACGTCTGTGGTAATAGCACAGGCCGCCTTTGGATGGGGTTCGCCTGTGCCGGTTTTTGGACCGGGTTCGACTACGGTTCGGGCGGGGAGTCTGCAGATTGTTGATGGTGGTTTGCATAGTGACCATGACTAAACAAAGGTCGGCCAACTGCTGAGACAATAGCTGCACTTCTGTCGTGGGCTCGTGCAGGGACGTACCGGGAGCAGGGTTGGAAAGCGACTGATGGACGAAGTTTGGCTCCGGGCTCCCGATGTTCGTCAAAGAAGGCTGGAAATTTGAGCCTGCTCCATTGCTCGGCCAGCAGCCTCAGCTAGTTCGTCTAGACTATGGGTGTGTGCGAAAACATTCAGAATACTCTGTACGTATGACGGAAGCCGTTGAAGCCAAATCTGGCGTACTACGGAGTCGTCGAGTGTGGTGTTGCCGACTGACGCACGCATATGACGCAACAACTGGGACGGCTTGAGGTTTCCCAATTGGATCCCTGAAAGAAGGAGCTGGATGCGTTTCTCCTCGGAAACTGCCATACGACGAAGAAGTGCTTCTTTGAGCACGTCGTACGGGTTGTGCGCAAGGATATTCATGTAAATANGACTGTGGGCATGTGCAAAAACATTCAGAATACTCTGTATGTATGGCGGAAGCCGTTGAAGCCAAATCTGGCGTAGTACGGAGTCTTCGAGTGTGGTGTTGCCGACTAACGCACGCATTTGGCCCAACAACTGGGATGGTTTGAGGTTTCCCAATTGGATCCCTGACAGGAGCAGCTGGATGCGTTTCTCTTCGGAAACTGCCATACGACGAAGAAGTACTTCTTTGAGCAC